TTTTTAGGCAGAGTTTTATCAGTAAAATGGTCCAGGGATCCAGATGGGACGCCATATGGGTCGAGTCAAACCTGGCCTCCAATGTTTCACACTTGGCAGACAACAGTTGTGTGTAATTCCAGTTGGCACAGATGTATAATCTCAGCCATATGCTGATTGAGATTAGGAGCTGTTTCCTGTTCCAGACTCTGTGTGTGTATTTGTTGTGGTGCGTTTGTTTAGGATGAGCCTACGACCGGCATGGACCCGCACTCTCGTCGGTTTCTGTGGAACGCCATCATGAGTGTCATTCAGGATGGAAGGGCCGTGGTGCTGACGTCACACAGGTTGAGTATTTGACAGACAAATACATTCACCGACTGCAGCGGTCGCACACTCTGGGTGAAGGGTTTGGCCAAAAAGACCCTGATGGGGTCACAGCCAGAGTGTGTGTGTGTGTGTGTGTGATGTTGTTTATTCATGTATGAACAGTCCTGACAACAGCAGTAACATGATGTTGTTGTTGTTTTCCACCAGCATGGAGGAGTGTGAGGCCCTCTGCACACGGCTGGCCATCATGGTTAATGGGACCTTCAAGTGTTTGGGTACAATTCAGCATCTGAAATACAAGTAAGGGCTGCTGGTGTCTGTCAGGGCATTTGTTTTCAAGTGTGTTTTCAACCTGATTAAAAAGTCAAATCTCTTAATATTTGAAAGAGGTAAAATGCATGTGCCCTCCTTATACTTTTCCATTCTATGAAACTTTCAATAATTAATACTATATATTTAAAACATTCATTCTACAGTTGTCTTAAATGACTACGTGTTTAGATTTTATTTCATAAAGTACAAGTAAATGCACATCACGTCACTCAGGTCTTTCTCTTCACCCAGATTTGGCGGTGGCTACATGGTGACCATGAAAATCAAGTCGACCAAAGCGGGTCAGTCCCCGGAGCTGGGTCCTGTGGAGAGCTTCATGGAGAGCTGCTTTGTTGGCTGCGCTCAGCGAGAGAAGCATTACAACACTCTACAGTACGAGATCGCCTCCTCTTCACTGGCCAGGATATTTCAGCTGGTGGTGGCCAACAAAGAGAGGCTGAGCATCGAACACTACTCTGTCTCCCAGACAACACTGGATCAGGTACAGGCACATGGAAGAACGTCTGTCGGCCGTCGACAACAGACGAATGACAGGAGATATTTATCAATATAACACTTGACCTATTTCTTTATGAACTTACTGTGTTTTAATTTGATTGATTTAAATCTAAACAGCTCTTCACTGTTTGTCAACAACAAAGTCTGTTGAATCTGACGCAGGGACAGAATATACCGTGACACCAAAGTGAAGCTAACAACAGCAGCTAACTGAGCGGCTAAGAGGAATGAACGTCTCACAAACGAAGAACAGGTTCTGTTGGTTTTCTCTGTAGTTTGACTGTGTTTCTTTGTGTGTTGCTCAGGTGTTCGTCAACTTTGCCAAGCAACAGACTAGAGAGGATGAGGACGTTTCATTGCACAGGCGAGCGACGGGGGGGAGGAAGGACATCAAGATTACTCCGGTGAAGAGGAAACAGTGAGTGTCACCTCCGTCAGTCCAGTCTAACGTTCTAAGCAGGAGTGAGGAGCACGTCTGAAACTGTACGGACTGATGTGTTAAGGTGTTAAAGGTCACTACTGTGTATATGTATGTAAAATATTCTGTTTACTGGAAACATATACAAATTTAGTATTTTTAGACCAGTCATTTTCCTGGCACGTTGAAAAAAAAAAGTTTACTACAGCTTTACAGCTTTTTTTGATTTGCTGCTTAAAATCTGAAATACTTCTGTTTACCGTTTTTATACAGCACTCTCATGTCATGTCCTGGATTTTCATATTAGTAAAAGATGATTTTTAAAAAATATATAAAGGATTAATGGTTTCAGACCTGTAGCTGTAAATACATCAATAAATTACTGCTGCTTTCTACCTCACATGTGTATTTCTGCTCAGCTTCTTTGTGCTGAGTATTTGAAGTGCAGGATTTCTCTTTAAATATTTCAGACCTGCCGTCTTCATGACGATACTGTGGCTACATTTGATCTGAAAGGATTTTTAACTCTGCTGACCCACAGTAAATCACAGAGCCACTGAAAAGCTGTGAAAGCTTCTGTGGGTCAGAGAGGAAACTTTGCATTGGGAGTCAAGGCAACGTTTGGCTGAGTAGCCAATCACAGCCCAGATTTACCTGCAATCAAAAGTAATACCACAAAAGCACTGGAATTATGGGTAAAATAACATTAGTGAAGTATAATTTAATTAACAATTACAAATTCTAAATAATTTTATTTAGAACCCATAACAACCAACACTTTGTTCACACTTCAGGTCTGTTGCCAAATATTCAACGATAAATATTTTCCTTGAGAAAAGACTCGGACAGTGTGACGGAAGTTTAACTTTAATTTCTTCCCTATTCCACGTTGCAGAGCAGTGACTTTTCCAAGTATTTTCTGTAGCCTGTAACCAAGTGCTTTGGAAAAATGTTGGATCATAAGTTTAATTGTGATCAAGGACGAACTCAGACTGAGATGAAGATGAGTGGCAGAGCTGTTGAGCACGAGCCAAAGGGAGGACAATGACAGGTCATGGATGGTGTGTGTTATTGCATATTTTACAAGCTGCAGCGTGTGTGAGAGGACGAGAGAGAGAGAGAGAGAGAGAGAGAGGTGGAGCAGAAGGTAAATTATAGAGGTTCACATGTACAATAATGGAAGAGGAGTCTGATTGCAATGCAGAAGAGCCCAGAAGTCTCAGTCTTTGAATACACACTCAGTATTCAATCACTGTGCATTCAGGCAGCTGTAGGTGGCTGCATCACAGTTTAGAGGTGGCCGGGAACACAATCATTTAATGCAGCAGGAGACAGCTGACGGGAGAGGAACAGCATAAAAAGTAGAAATGTTATTGAACTTTTGCAGAAGCTGAAGTGTATTTACTCCATTTAACAAAAGTTTGACTATTTTACTTAGTATCTATCGAAATAAGGGGTGAAATGAGGCAAAACAACAGTCAAAACAACAAACTAATGAAGGTGAAAACCAGCTGAACATTGTTATTGCTAGAACAAACCATAACAACAATGTAGCAGTTAGCAAAGGAGCAAGGAGTCCTGGGTTTGATTCCCAAACCAAATACCTGACGCCTCCAAGCGGCAGCCTGTTGCAGCACATCTGCTGTTAACAAGAGGAATTAACCTCAGAGCAACATTTTACGTCCAACAACGGCTGAGGTGACCAACACTGAGGTCAGTGTCGGAACATTTACTTCCATGAAAAACACAGGCTAACATTCTGTCTGTTTTGAATTCCTTGGACTTCAGTAACAGAAGAAAAGGAGCAGGGAAGACAGTGCAGTCAGGTTAAAGTCAATAGAGTTTATTTTTTACATAAATGAAATTGCAACTAATAAAAGGAAGCCAAACGTTGGCCATCACATGGGTCGTTGTAATCCTCATCAGAATGGTTTCAGTGTGTGGGTGATAGGTTGTGTCTTAGCCCACCTCTTCTGTTGAATGCAAATGTCATGTCCAGTCGCTGAATGGAAGTCTTCAACAAAGAAAAGAGTTATTGTTTATATATGTATGGTATTGTGAGGTGATCCTGCAGTCATTTGTGATTGAGACCCCCGCTCCAAAGTAGAACAGAAATGTATTTGAAGATATTTATTGATACTTTGTAATACAAGTATGTGTAAACTGGAGTAAACATTGACAAAAGAGCCACACAGTAGTAGCTGTGGTTACTTTGAATGTGTCCACTTGTTCCATTTATTTACAATGACATTTTCCTTCAGACTAGGATTTAAAATATTTGAAGTACATCTTAGGAGAAATGAGTGGTACAGTTTGAAACGAACTGCCTGTTATGGTTTTGCTATGTATATTCCCATAGACATCACAGTCCAATTATTCATTGTTACCTTCAAAGCTCTATCTCATTTTTTTTTCACAAAAGTCAACATTTAAGATTCAAGAATACATCAACAATGCAACAACGTAATGAAAAAAATATGATGTTTTTAGCATTTTTACACCAAATCTTTTAAATGACTGAACGTTAAGGGCAATTTTTCCACTTTGGAATTTTTAAATAACAAAAGGGACTAATACATGAGAATGGCCAAAAAATAACTTAAATGTAATGGATGGTCCAGTAATATTAATAATAATAAATATTTATACTTGAAATGTTATTTTGTACAGTTTGTATATATATATATATATATATATATATATATATTTAAAATATTTTACTCTAATAAAGTACATTCAGTAATGTTCTTGTCTTCCTACTTGCTGTAGCACAGTCTTTCATTAGGGCCTGACAAAAGCACCGGCATCAGTTCAACAGCAGCTGGTGCTCATAGTTTTCTCAGGTAAGACATCAGGTGTAAGACTGGTTAAACAGGTTAACCACTGATCAAGATAAGGTTAGGATCAGGGGGAGTTGTAGTCATAAATGAATAATAAATAATAAAATATAATAAAAGAAACCAAATAAAAATATTTTTTATTGCAAATAAGCAGAAATATATAAGGATAAAGCTATGAGTAGGAACAGAAATATGTATTGATTCATCACAACTTGTTTTAAGTTGGAAGCTAAACCAAAATGAACGATTTTAAATAGTTATACAGCGAATTAATTAAAGGAACACTATATCAACCTGGCAGTCAGTTTACTTAAAATCCCTTTTTAATAAATAATTGTGCGTTAACATTCTATTGTCTGAAGAAAGTCAATAATACTTGGCAAAACCTGGTTTCATTGAAATAAAAGATTTAATTTCCCTTCCCTGCTCATTTAAGGTACTCGCCACAAAACTGGCGAGTACCTTAAATACAAACTGAGCCTTTGTGTGGCTCATT